CAAAATAAGAATAGGCAAACCTATGGTTGCCACAGAGATCATGCCCTCTGGGGCTCAACTTGAAATGGTATCCCCAAGTTCAAACGTCCAAGAATGAATGCTGTTGGGTAAGAAGGCAGTGGGTACACCTGTAGGATCTGCACCTTTTGTCTATGGCCCAATTTAACTGACAAGCATTCATAACATGACAATCCAAAGTAATTATATTCTTGTTCAGCATATAAATAACTTTAAGGCTAGTTTGCATGTAACCCCAAATAGAGCCAATCATGTTCCTATTCTGCCACAATCTGATTTCATCTGAGAATATTTATCATCATTAGCCTCCATAAGATTATGCAAACTGCAACTAGATCATAGCAAAATGGGCTCCTCTTTGGAAGAAGAGAAGCTGAAATCTTTTACTATATAAGAAGTCATAGCAGCTAAATATCAAGAATCTCAGGTAGAGAAACAGATTCATTTCACAATTACACTATTAGCACTAACTCTGCTATGGGGGTGGGACCTGAAATGTCCTCACCTGCCAAAGATGAGACTTCCTTTATCTTCTGTTTAGGAGGTATAATTAAATTTGAAGTTTCCTCTCTTAAAATGCAAAATCAAAGCACATATAAAGACTTTAAGAGAAAGCAAAGAGATAACTCACCCATGACACAATCCAATCCAAGAAATTAAGCAAAGAGAAGATAACAAGGAATGGAGAAGGTAGCCTCTAAGCTTCCATGCCATGGACGTTCATTGGATTTAATTTTTGGTGGAACATCAATTTGAGATTTTTATTATAGTGGATTTTTAAATTTAGTTTTGTGTACAAGAGTTACCATTTATATACTTAAATATTTTTCCTTGTTTTTCAGGAAACCATTTATAGTGTATTCTTATAAATATGTATCTTATCTAAGGAAATCCAATGGTTAAGTTTCTCACTGAATTAAATATGCATACCTTCAACGCAACAATGTAGAACTATAAAGTTATATTAATCCCATGTGCAAACTCTATATATCAGAATGTTGGTAATGAAAAGTTTATTGAGTGTAATTATGTTCAAAGTTATATTCCAAGCTATAACAGAGCATAACCAATTTCTGTTTTGACTTGTAATTCTGGTAGAGTTTTCTTCAAAGGGTGAAAAAATCAACATATCATTTGTCCTTGGAGCTGTGGAAAGTAGGCACAAACACAAGCTGAGCTGCAGAGTAAAAGAAATTATACTGATTCTATTAATTCTTTTTGACCTTTTTGATTTAAAGGAAAACAGAAAAAAAATTCAATAAATAAGAAATAAATAAATAAAAGAATGCAAATTAAATTACAGTTAAGGAAATACACAAATTAATTTCAGGGACTTACTGACTGCAAAGGGGAAGAAGGCATCTCAGTATGTCACCCCCTGGGTGGACCATGAAATGGATCTTGGGAGGAGGTTCGGTCTAAGTGGAATTGTAAGATTAGGAGCTAGACATGGAGATGTGGCATACATGGAGGGGGGGGGAATGGGCTATGGTTAACCTAACAGCAGTCTTCCAATATTTGAGCGATTGTCATAGAGAAGAGGGAGGTCAATCTATTTTCCAAAGCACCTGAAGGTAGGACAAGAAGTAATGGATGGAAATTTATCAAGGAGAGATCCAACCTAGAACTAAGGAGAAATTCCTCATCAAAGAAAACAATTAATCAGGGCAATGGCTTGTTCCAGATCTTGTGAGTGCTCTATCACTGGAGCTTTTCAAGAAGAGACTGGTAGCCATTTGTCCAGAATGGTATAGGCCCTCCTGCTTGAGTGGGGGTTTGGACTACAAGATATCCAATGTTCCTTCCAATTCTGTTATTCTAATATTATTATTATAAGGGGATCAAATACAGGAGGGAGAAGAGGATAAGAAAAATAATGCATAAAAAGAACACAAACTGATTAAAACATTAGGCAAAAGTTCTTTAGATTTGAAAAAATATTATTTGCATATAGAAACTAGATAGGTATTTTAGGAATTCCAATAGTATTTAACTCTTTAAAATATTTAAGCAGTACTATTATCAAAGTATTAATAATTTTCATTAATAATTATATACCAACTTGAAAGAAATTAAGCAAAGAAATGAAAAACTGGGATTCAAAACATGTCAATGTTTTAGGTGAACTGCAGCTGTGGAAAAGAAACTCCTTGTAAGGTTCAATTCTATTTCAATGCCTCAAAGCCTAGAATGGGTTTTAACACAACTAAGAATAAAAAAAGATTTTACATAGATTATAGAAACAGGGAGGCTGGGACATACCCAAATTCGATAAATAAATAAATAAAAATTTGATACTATATTAGCAAGAAGTACAGAAATATGATTCAAACTAAAACTATTTTAGAGCTAAATAATTGTATAAATCAATGACAGGTTCATCAACAATGCTTTTCTATAATAACTAAGATGGAAATTGTTTTCACTAAATGATATGCTGAATTTGAAAGAATAACATATAGCTTTGATAAAGGATATTTCTCCTTTAATTCCTTCAGTAAAGAATTTATACATGAGGTTAATCACTACGATCTGGCTAAAACGAAACTTTTGAGACAATATATCTTTGCAGACTAAAAGATTTTTATAGCAACAGGGAACTTCCCAATAAAGAAGTTTATTGATGTTAAATTACCATGGTTATTCTATTGTTAACTCAAATGTTTTGGCAATTGGAATTCTAGAGATTTAGCAATTTAGGCTAACGCCAGTTTTGAGAATTTGGTATAGAAAATCCTCAACATATGACAATTGGGCCAAAATATCTGCTGCTAAGCAAGAACATTGTTAAGTTTTGCCGCATTTTATAACCTTCCTAGCTAGTGTTGTTCAGTAAATCACAGCAGTTAGTAATACACCTGTTAAGTGATCTGGCTTCCCCATTGACTTTCCTTGTCAGAAGGTCACAAAAGGTAATCACATTATCCCGGGATACTGCAACTATCATAAATACATGCCAGTTGCCAAGCATCTGAATTTTGATAAGGTGACCATGGGGATGGGGATGCTGCAACGATTGTGTGAAAAATGGTCGTATGTCACTTTTTCAGTGCCATTGTAACTTCAAATGGTCACTAACCAAATGGTTCTGAATTGAGGACTATCTGTATTTTGCCTAGAGCAATCAAAACGAACAATCTCAAAAACATATAGATTATAACTGCAATTAGAAATAAGAGATCCACCCATGGTTTAAAAGAAGCTTATGATAGAGATCTTGATACATCCATACAGAAGACAAATGGGCAGGAATTATGGAAATGAAGTGGATGCACTTCAGGTTCATTGCAAGGCACAATAAAGTTAGTGCTGTAAGAGATGACCAGGCTGAGCTCAAGGGAGGAGTCAAGCACGTCCATCAGTCTCAAGTCCCTTTGTACTCGCAACAGATCTAAGTCCAGGCGAACTTGAATTCCTTTGACTCTTATCTAACATCATTTGTCCTTATAACTGACCAAAAGACTCTTCAGAGATCCCTGGCTATCTCCCCCCCCCAACTTTCTCCACCGGATCCCTGCAGGCCTTCCCATTCCACCAGGTCCCACACCCTCCTTTTCACTTAAATTTCAAAAATATCTGAAGCTCTGGAGCTTGGCTTAGGGATTCAGAACAGCTCATTTTGTTGTACGGCCATGCAGAATAATTACAAAAACTGCTACCTTTTTCCAAGTGGCTGCACTGAATTGTAGTCATTTGGAAAATGGCAGCCACTTCCGGAATCAAGCCACATGGCTTACAACGAAGCAATCTGTTCTGCTTCCTCAAGGAGGACTGTGCAATGGTGCAGAGATCTTTAAAAGGTAAGTGGGTTATAGGGTGTGGGGAGGAGGCCCAAGAGCTGTGGGGACCTGGCAGAGGTGGTGGGAGAAAGGCCTGCAGGGATCTTGGGGGGAATGGGGGGAAACAGGCCCAATGGCTATGGAGACTCCGAAGGGTGGGAATGGAGCACAAGGTGTCTCAGGGAATAGGAGAAGCTTTGGGAAGCCTGGGCCATGTTGGCCTGCACTAAGCCTCTCAGGGCCTCCCTCCTCCACCCGCATAGTTGTTTAATACACCAGGATAGCAAGAGGTAGATAACCATTACAGTTATAAGTAGAATCTACCTGTATTTATAGGACCAAATCTGATACTTAAAAATAAGGAACTTATTATCTACAATTTTACCTAAAATGTAGCTAAAATAAATTGCCCAACATTAGAAATCTCCAACTACTGTAACAATTGAGATCTGCCTTACAAAACTTCTTCAATTGCTACATTAGAAAAAAATCAATTAAAATAATGAAGCAGGAAGGAAAATTCTATCAAATTTGGATGAATTTTATGCTTATAAATGGATCTTATAGTTTATCTCAATAGCAATAAACTACAATGTGATATTTCATACATATGGCGAATTTGTATGTACAGAGTTCCTGTTTCTACCAATTTTAGTTTGCATTTTATATCTTTTTTCTTTATTCATCTTGGACAATATGATATTTGATATTTGTTAATCATAGTTCAATAAACCAATTTAAAAAATAATTATGACTATCTTTTTTCTTTACATTACAAGCTCAAATATCTGCAGACTCATAATAAATCATACACCCCTCTTATGTGCAAATTTCATTTTTGGCAATATTTTTTTGAAGTTATGAGATTATACAATTGAAATGAATCAGAATATTTTAAAGAAAAATTGCCTGATAATGACACAGTGCCAATTCTTTTAGACATCTACATAAAGAAATATTATGCTACTAATAAATCCTGAACACAAAGTGCTCACTATATTCCAAAGGAACAGCAACAATATAAGTTCAGTAGCACACTAAAGACTGTCTGTTACTTAACAAAAGATTCAACCCAAGAATCCAGATACTTCTTTAATATATATTGAAATAAACCCTAAAACTATTTTCTTCAGTTAATCAAAGTTGCATTAAGTGTTGGCACAAAATGAATTTTTGAGAACTATTTCCAAAGAGGTTTCTCACCATTGGAAAAAGGCCTAATGAATGGTAACGGCGTGATATAGCATTTGGCATTGTCTTATTCCTAAGATTCTTCAGTTCTTCTTGTGCCTCATGAAGCATTTCCATACATTCTGCATATTTATCTTCCAGCTCTCGTAACTGTAATGAAGAAAAAATTACAATAACTAAAAATGTTTTTCTTAATTGTAGCCTTTATTAAAATGAAGAAAAAATACTTTTTATAAAAGGAAAATATAATCTAAACAGATGAATTATACAACTTGTTGTAGGCTTGTATTTGTTTAATATGTATCTGGGATGACTGAGTATTAAGACTGTTGCTGAAATGATACAAACACAATTTTCCCTCTGGATTATAGATTGGGAGAAAGAAAACCCTGTGTTATTGTGCTTTGAATTACAGTATTAATATCTAACAAACCTAACACCTATGAGAATTGAAAGTAATGAAAAGTACTGAAAAGTAATTCCATCAGCTCCGTAATGTTAATTTAAATATGGGTATTTAATTAAATAAGACAGGGACATAATATGTGAAATGAGTTCTGTTATTTGTATTTACTTCTCCATATATTCACTACACATTACTGCCCAAAAGGGAAAAGTCTCTTAAATCTGTCAACTGTCCGACTAGTGAACTCAAAATCAAGGAATCTTCAAAGCTTTGAAGAGCCATAAAAGATAAACTTTATTCAATACACATCTTAGAATTGAAGAAGCAAAACCAGCTCTGGTTTTCCTATGCGAAAATCTGCCTAGTTAACAATAGCTTCCGTAATACCCCCATGTTGCCCAATCATATATCTTTTGTTTCTTATGAGAACAGTCCACTCTCTGTCACACACCTGTGTTAGTGACCTTGACATTCTTGTAGGCTCTCATGGTCTGTAGGCAACTTCTTGGAATCCCATTTCCTTCCTATGCTTTCTACCCCTGCCCCATTTCTATGGCCAGTTGAGTAGCGATAGAAGTTTTATCTTAGTGATTCAACCTTGATATGCACACTTTATTTTTTCAACCAGTTTTCAAAGTCCTTTTCACTTCCTCATTTCAGTCAAATTGATGCCTACAAAGGTATTTATTTAATTTTAGGGAAAGGTGGAAGTCACATGGCACCAAGTCTGCATTGCATGTTAATTGGGTAAAAGGATAATATTCAACTTTGTAACTGTCTCTTGAGCGATCCATGAGAGATAAAGCTTAGTGCTATCATGCTGTAGGGAAAAAATGTGCTTCTAAATTCTGCTTAATTATTATTTCAAAGTTTTGAGTGCTGCAATGTAGTACTCTGAGTTGAAATACAATTTGCATTCCAAAAACCTGTAATTGAAAAGTTTTCCTGCCAAATCTTGATCTTTATTTTTTATTTTGTAATGAAGCTTCATGTAATCCATGAATTGGTGCTTTATGTCTGATTTTAATAATGAGACCATGTTTTATTGGCTGTCACAATGTTATGAAGAAATTTTTCACCTTCCTTCTCATAAGCATGGCAACAATTGCTGACAAATTTTACTTCTTGATGCTTTTATCTCTACTGTCAGCATGCAAGGAACTCTTCTTGCACAAACCATCTGATACTGAAGAACATCAGTAATATGATTCACATTTTCTTGTGAAATGCCAAGCTTGACAATAATTTCTCTTTAAGTGCTTTGCTGATTGTCTTTAATCAGTTCAACAAACTTCATCATGTGAAACTCACTGGTTACTTTCAAAGGTTGCCCATTTAATTCTTGATCAAACAAACCAGCTTTTCGTGGCTCACCATTTTTTAATTTTTTGGGCCCAACAATGTATATTACTTACTTAATTAGTTACCACCACAAATAAACTGTATTCAGTGTTGATGTAAGAGATGATCAGGCTGAGCCCCTGGGAGGGTTCAAACATGTCATCAGTCTCTAGTCCCCTCATGCCCACAAGAGATCTAAGTCCAGCCCACCTTGAATTCTGTTGACTCTTATCTGCCGCCAATTCGCTTTCACCATTAGTAGTTTAGATTATTGTAGAGAGCTTTAGCATACAATAAAACTATATATTCATTTGAACTGCCTGAACTCCTGATTTCATGTGCTTGACAGTTGAATTTCAATTGGAGGTATTTCAGTCAGCCGATCACAGCATGTTGCTTAAAGTGCCCAAATAAGTATTCATTACAGGCTTCCCTTTCAAATAGAATAACAACATAATCTTTCTCACAGCTATTTCTCACCAACTGAAGAACAGATTCTAAAAAGCACATCAAAACATTTAGCACATCAGTATTTTAATCTACTAGCAGTTTATAATATCGGAGTCATTACTTGTAATTCAACTGTCATTATTGATGAATGTAATAATCCCTATTTAGACTTGATATCAAAGGATTTTGATAGCTGAAATACATACACACAGAGACATACACAAATACAAATGAATTTATAAGGCTTTGCTAATAAGATTTGATTCTTACATACTGTATTCAGAAACATCAATAATTTATACAACACATGGTTTAGAAATCTTTAAGAGAAGCAATGTTAAAAAGTAAAGCCCAAATACCTAATATCAGACAAGAGCCATCTCTGTTTTAATGGTAACACAATTCTAGACATGCTGACTTTTTAAATAAATCTCACTCTTCTTCAGATAGCTTATGTTTCCATTAATACATAAAATTATGTTTAATTATTTGATGTTTGAATATATTCATCTTATAAATAACAGCCCTCAGTTAAACTAAAATAATTTTCAGATGATATACACACAGACACACACATGTGAAAAAAATCCAATGTTTATGCCAATTAAATTTCATTTTTTCAAAGATTTATGATTTAATGTAGCAAAATGTTGTATTTGGACTCTGAGAAGGATATTTTGTTCTTAAACAACTCCATAAAATATATATCCTTCATTTTTTTTAGTAGTTTTCATTTGTAAATTCTCTTTTCTACATAACGACTGGAATAGATTTTTTGTATATTATTACAAGAACACAATAAATGAAAAAAGGATCCTTATTCCCCCATTCTCTTCAACACATAATTAATTATTTTTCATAATTATTTGTACAGAAACCAAATTCTTAGTGCTACTGCACTATTAAGTAGTGCATTAGCTAAACAATGAGAGAAAAGTAGATAGGTAGTATATATATCAAATCAATTAAATAAAGTACCGGTAGTTGGTTCCCAAGAAAATTATTCATTACTTAAAAACTGCTATTCATTCCAAAAATCACTGTCCCTTTCTATTGATAAAATGAACATTTGGCAAGAAGTTGGTGGTATGGTCTTCTTTTCCCCTTTCTACATACATACAAAACATACAAAATCCAAAATGATTATTTAGCTAGCTGGGACAAATTGTGTATTCCTCCATACTGAGTGAGGTTTAAAGGCTGTATCATTGTTATGCTGCCCAGCTGTTATTGTTTATATTCTTATTTGTTAAAAAAAAATCAAACGTGGTAAAAGTTCCCAGATGTTTATAACATGCTGAAGGAATGTGGATTGTCATATCCTTTTCTGTTAACTATCTTAATATTTATTTAATAAAATCTTTTTACACTGGTTCGAGTCTACTGCCTTTGAATCCTAAAGATCTAATTGGGTCTCAACTGGCAACTGTAAAAGTCGCACACCCTGCCAAATAAAATAATCTTTCTAATTATATATCAAAAGTCAGGGAGAGAAAGAAAAAAATAGAAAGAAAGAGATAAGGGCAAAACAAATATGGCATAGCATGCTCACAATAACAGTTTTCAATCCTGTGTGGAATCAAGAAAATCTGAATGTAAAAAACATACAAATATTACTTTTTAATAACAATTATTATTCTGATATGAAAATAAAATGTGACTGAGCAAAAAAAAAGGTCCTGTTTTTAAATCCTGATTATTACTCACTTCAGCTGTGAGTTGCCTTTGGGCATCTTTAGCTGCTCCCAAATGTTGGACAAGTTCTTCATTTTCCACTGTACACTGAAAAAGGATCAGCAGCAAAAGCATTACAACACGGTCATCATTCCATGATTTTTCTATTTCAAGATTTAAAGGACTTTATTCAAAAGTAAGGAATAGAAAAAAATACTGCATCATATTGTGGCTAAAAGTCACCAACTTACAGCTTTTGCCTTTTTCTGCAAATCCACTATCTGAGACAAAAGATGGGTGATTTCTTCCTGTTGTCGGGCAGCATCTTCAGTCTTCTTAGCTAACTCTTCCGAAATACTGGCAATCTGAAGATTTGCATCTCCTTAAAGAAATAACAATATCACTTTTTAACCAAATGGAACCGGTCATGGGTAAAAATACTGATAAAGTAAACATTACTGTAACTTGGCCATATAAAGAAACTAATAGACAATTACTATTAATTGGGAAATAAGAATCAGAAAGTTTTGTGCTTCCTGAAACAGTCCAATCAATTTTTGTGCTGAGAATGAAATTACTTTCCACTTTGTGTAGCCTGCTTAAATTCTAGCCCTAGTTTCTCAGTCAGCCTGTTCATTTGCCTTCAAAAGATTGTGGGTGCTCCACTGAATGCATTTTCTGAATTCCTAAAGTAGTTATGTTTAAATACAAGGCTGCTATTTATTAGGATCTTTTCCTACAATAGTATAATTGGATGGGATGTTTTTCCATCATTCTTTCACGAAGACAGTAAAGTAAAAAAATTGAGCAGAATTTTACTTTTTATCATATTTCAAATAGAATTCCACTGATTTAAAAAATAAAGTAAGAATTAACTTACAGGGGTCCTAATCCCAGACTACTTCAAATATATTCAGAATACAAAAATAATACAAAAAAGCCAATCTGGTTATTTATGGTCTATCAAGAAAATAAGATACAGCAATTTGGAAAATATTTTATACAATCCCTAATTTTATACTTAAATTAAAATATGAAATTTTGTATTCAGCAGAAAATAAGATACATTAGTAACTTTCTCTGAATTCAGACATAATTTGTTTGGAACAACTATTCCATTAGAAGCAGATTCTGTGTACTTAACTATATTTTGAAATATTTTAATCAGGGACACTTTATTGAACCATTATTTAATAAACTAGAAATGTTATTTCACTGGAACAAACTAGTTTTTGCCCACTATAAAACTGTTATAAATTAGTCTTTGCATCTCCAAAAAAGATGAACTGCAGATCTTTAAAAAGTAAGTTTATACCATATTAATATTTTGATTAAATTATATTGAGAAAAAAATGGATCATTTGAACAAAAAAGAAAAGAAATCTACATCTAGTACAGTGTATACCAATGATTTTTAAATCACACATAGTTCCAATCATTTAACTGCAGATGTTTAAATTTAAAGCAAACATGGAATTATGAAGATACAGTTTGATTTTAAGTATTATGAAATAGTTTTTGCTTCACTTAATAAAGTAACATTAGATTCCAAGAATTTCCATGTCATAACCACAACAAAATATTTTAATTATATTCACTAGATTTGTACTAATTGATAAAATAATACCTGACAAAATCCACAGATGCACTCACTTAATTATGCCATTTAAACAATTGTGAACATAAACTATTATAAATCAAGAATGAGTCAAATCTATAAGAAAAATACATTTTCAAGTTAACACTGCAAATAGTCTGGACGCTCCTGGAATTTTCACCACCATTTAACTTGCATGAGGCCATTAGATTAACTATTTTAAAATGTATTTAAATTAGAATGCACTTAATTTTTTATCTCCAACAAAGCTTAAGGTTGTGGAGCTTAAAAGATAAGTAAGCAAAGTATGAATCATGTTTAAAATACAAATCTGGAACTACTAAATAATTGAATATCTATCCATCCATGCATCCATTCATCCACCTTATCTATTTATCTATCTACATCTATCTGTCCATCCGTCCATCCATTTCCCCTTCCCTCCCCCACGGCCAGAAGATAAATTGTAGGCAATATACACTAGATTAATCACATTGCTTTTTTAAGATACATAACTAAATGGCACAGAATCCACCACCTCGGGCAAAACCCCATTATCTGAAAGTCTACCCACTCTGCCAGAAAGCAAAGAAAAAAACATACTGAGCTCCTTTACACAATCATTTACAAGTTGCTGTTCTTTCTCTTCATAAGTAATGGTTTCAGTCTTCAGATGGCAGGCCTGTTTACAATATCAAGAAATGAAAAACTCAATTAACATCTTGCTAGTGTTGCACTGCTATTTGATTTTTTAAAAATAAGTTTTTCGCAACAGTACACAATATTTATGGACAGCCAAAACTTTCATCCTTCCTCTTTTCCTCTGCAAATATTGTGAATTAATAGCAAACTATCACTAATGTTAAAAAGAGAAATATATAAAAATAATTTGAAGACATCAGGGATAATTGAAATATAAAAATGTAATCTATTTGATGAAGAAACTTTAATGGAGATTAAAGTGATTTCAAAAATTCTTAAAGGGAAAAATATGCTCACTAACAAACTTGAAAAAAATGTCAACATGTTCAAGAATCATTTAAATGGTTATGATTTAGTTATACTGGATGTAAATTATAATAAACCTCAAAAGACAATTTAATTCTATAAAGTAAATTATATCACAATTTTGCAAAGTGATCATCACACGATCATTCTAGACTGACCAAATCATTTTAAAGCTTACCATAGGAACAAAACAATACATTTCCTACAATACAGCAATAAAATAGTAATGATAATTAAATGTACTGCTCAATATCAGTCAATGCAATGATACAGGTAGTCCTTGACTTATGATCATTTGTTCACTGACTGCTTGAAATTACTAATGTGCTGAATGAAGTGACTTACAATTTGCGCCTAAAGTTACAGCCACTGGAGGGCCCTTGCAGTCTCATGATGAAAATTCAGATGCTTGGAAGTCTGCCTGCACTCAAGACTGCAGAGGCACTTCAATTCCCCCACCCGCCTGTCTTTCCTGCCATTTCAGCCACCCATCCTGACCAACCAACAGTGTGAACAAAGTTGCAGGAGCCCTGGAGGTCACAGCCTGTTCCCCATCTCATCATGCCCAGGGGGTCCAAACCTGCTTCTCATCCCACTATGCCCAGGGTTACAGGGCCCATCTGCAAGCATAAATTGCCCCACTTACAATGTTTGCAATGTTTCTGACTATTGCAAGGTATGGGCTTCCTATTAAGATAACCTTGAACCATTTTGCAAGTGGGCACCATTCTTGTGATCATTCAGAAGGTTCTTTTTATGTTCTTTCTAGCCTTTCAAATGATCACAAGAATAGCATCTGGTTTTCAGAAGAAGGCTTCAAAAGCACCATGAGAGCAGGCATCATTCTCACCGTTATTCAGAAGGCTCCTTCTCCAATTCACACAATTTGGAGGAGGAGCCTTCCAAATAATCAAAAGAATAGTGTTCACTTGCATAATGGCACATGACAATCTAAGTCAGAAGATCATGCCTCACAATATGCAAGGTGTGCTGTCAGCAGCTGCAGAAAAACCACAAAGTAAGTGAGACAATTTGTGTAAAGATGCAAATGTGGCACTTATATCTGGCCAAGGCCTCCCGGTTATGGTGGTATGGATAATGAGCTTAGACTTCCTAGGCCATGGCAGGTTTCTGGCAACCAGGGGGTCCTGTAGCTTGCACTAGATCTCCCAGGACCTCCCTCACTCCCCTGAGGCACCCCCAGATTTGTTACATTGGACTCTGACTCATAACAATCAGAAGTGCCAGGATTGTAGATGTTGAGCAAAATGGTCAGTGACAACTCATTTAACAACTGCTTTGGTCAATAACCAAAATTTTGGTTCCAATTGTGTCAAGGATTACCTGCATTGTGAAGAAAGGTAAATCTCAAAGCAGAGTTACCGTATATCCTAAATATTGTAGCTATCTTTCTACCATTTATTGTTCATAATTAAATGGTGGTAGGGAGAGTTTTAAGGAATCTGTTCCTTTAACTGCCACCATCAAACCATTTCCTGATTTGAAAATTTTGTATGTGTGCATGTGTGTATGCTCTTGCGCACATGTGCATGCATGCACATGTATGTGCGAAATGAGCCTGAATCAATCCACTGCAGAATGAAAGCCTCTTCAATAAATGTTATCAGTTATAATCTATCACATCAATGCAGTAAAGGTTAATAGATTGATTATTTTTAATTTCCCAGACTACAGTTTAGACAGAATGACTGGTCCAAAGTCTCCAAGCTATCTTCTATGCTTAAGGGAAGACTAGAAACACAGATTTCATTGCTTTTAGTTCAGCACTTTACATACTACCATTTATTTATTATTTATCATTGGTTCTTATTGATATGTGCCTATATCTGTATTGATATATTTGTATCTGTATCTATGTTTATATTTATATCAGGTAATGTGAGTTGGTAGAATGTAGACTATATAGAACAACACAGTCATTGGTCCCCTCTCTCTCTTTTATATTTGAACAAAGAATCAAATTAACTTTTATTAAAAGGTTCTCCTAAGATTACAACTTAGATAAATATTTTAGTGCAGGTGTCTCTAACATGTGGCTTATAGGACGCATGTGACCCTAGACAGCTAGTAATGCAGCCACACAAGAACATAAATTTTTAATGTTATTATGTGTATATTATATATTTTATATGTAGCCCAAGACAATTCCTTTTCACTCAGTGCAGCCCAGGCAAGTCAAAAGGTTGATCATCCATGTTTTAGACTATTCTCCTAGCTCTTAAAACAAGAAGATTCTTAGCAAATTATATTCTTTGTCTTCCCTGACAATAAATATCTATGCTTAATCTTATCATTCAGATAGCTAGAAGACAGGTTTCTTTTTCAGACTTATACTTCTAATCATACTTTCCAAATCTCTTTCTCTTCAGTATCTTTTTCCTCCAGCATTTCAACTGTGAGTTTATGTTCTCTGTTATGCAACACATATTTGGCCCATTCTAACTCTGGAAAAAAATCTCATAATTCTATTATAAATAATACACATCACTCTGTAGTCTGTTATTCAACAACACTTTGATTGCCCTAACTCACGGGTCGGCAACCCGCGGCTCCGGAGCCGCATGCGGCTCTTTCAGCCGTCTCCTGCGGCTCCCAGCCATGTGCAGTGCCCCCCCCAAAAAAAGTAGGACTCAAAAAGTTGAACCAATCAATTCAAACTTCTCACGAAAGAAGTTTGAATTGATTGGTTCAACTTCTTTGGTTTGTAGGACGCTGTTCGCCATGGGCTCAACATAGACGGGAGGGGGGGAAGACAGCTCTGGAGGGAGACAGCCCTGTAGCAAGAAGCCGGCGGTCCGAGCGGAGTGGCATGGAAGACCTACCGGTCAGCGTGGGAAGCTCCAGTGTTGCCAGTGAGCAAGGCTTGGCCTCCACGGCCCAGTTCCGCACCCCGATGACCAGCTGGATTGGCTTTCACGGCTCCAGCCCGGGGATGCCAGCAGCATAGAAAGCGGTTTGGCGGCGCTGCCGTGGGCGGGGTGTCCTTGCAGCGGACAACTTGGGCCCGGATATTTCCTGTGGCTCACGACCGGAGACACCGGTGGCGCATGGCCCGGACTGTCTGCGTTGCCATGGGACCACCCCCCTGCGGTGCCAGCTAATGCGGCATGTTTCCAGCGGCGAAAAAGGGGCCTGAGCGGCGGCGGAACAAGACACTGGGCAGCACGAACTGAGCACGGTCTTGATAAGCAACAAGCCAAGGCCCCGCAGCCCTCCTGCCGCCGCTTAGTTCGTGCTGCCCAGCGTCTTGCAATCGGTTGGAGAAAACAGGTGGATAGGATTGCAGCCAACGATAGGACGTTAGAGCCGCCAACTCTGGTCTCCACCCGGGCGGGCAGGTGAGCGAAACCCCGAAAGCTTTTGTGTTCCTTTGCAAATAGAAGATGCTGGTGGCGCATGGCCCGGGGGTGGGAAAGACAGCTCCGGAGGGAGGCAGCCACGCAGCCAGAAGCCGGCGGTCCCAGCGGAGCGGCACGGAAGACCTACTGGTTGGTGTGGGAGGCTCCAGCGTTGCCGGTGAGCAAGGCCTGGTGTCCGCAGCCCAGTTCCGCACCCCGATGACCAGCTGGACCGGCTTTCACTGTTTCTTTGCAAACGAACGCAAAAGGTTTCGGGGTTTTGCTCGCCGCTTAGTTCGTGCTGCCCAGCGTCTGCCTGCCTGCCTGCCTGCAGGCCTCCGTGCTCCTTCCCCGAAGCATGCAATTGCTCAGAGCCCGTCCCAAAAGGTGCTGCTTCCCTGGCAGGAGCCGAGTTTGCAAGCCTCGTTGGCAAGCCGGGAAAACCGAAGGTCCAGAGGGTTCCCTCCTGCTGCGGAGCTGCAGTGCCTGGCTGTGGGCTGAGGGGGGAGGGGGTGAGGGGTATCCGGGGCCTAAAAAGTCCTCCAGGACCGGCTCGGGGCCGGCCCTCTTTCCCCNTCCCCCTCAGCCCACGGCCAGGCACTGCAGCTCCGCAGCAGGAGGGAACCCTCCGGACCTTTGGTTTTCCCGGCTTGCCAACGAGGCTTGCAAACTCGGCTCCTGCCAGGGAAGCAGCACCTTTTGGGACGGGCTCTGAGCAATTGCATGCTTCGGGGAAGGAGCAGGGAGGCCTGCAAGCAGGCAGGCAGGCAGGCAGGCAGATGCTGGGCAGCACGAATTAAGCGGCAAGCAAAACCCTGAAACCTTTTGCGTTTGTTTGCAAAGAAACAGTGAAAGCTGGTCCAGCTGGTCGTCGGGGTGTGGAACTGGGCTGCGGACGCCAGGCCTTGCTCACCGGCAACGCTGGAGCCTCCCACACCAACCAGTAGGTCTTCCGTGCCGCTCCACTGGGACCGCTGGCTTCTGGCTGCGTGGCTGCCTCCCTCCGGAGCTGTCTTCCCCCCCGACCATGCGCCACCGGCGTCTTCTCTTTGCAAAGGAACGCAAAAGGTTTTGGGGTTTTGCTCGCCTGCCCGCCCGGGTGGAGACCAGAGTTGGTGGCTCTAACGTCCTACTATCGTTGGCTGCAATCCTATCCACCTGTTTTGTGCAACCGATTGCAAGCCAAGCGCTGCCTGGTTCTGAATTAATAGCTTGGGGGGGGGGAGTGTGAAGCCCACTGAACTGCGTGATCCCAATGACCGAGCTGACTTTGCAGGAGCCTCCATCGGATTGGAACTTTCCTGTCCGATTGAACTTAGTTAAGGCAGGGCCGTTCTTAGCGTGGTGTTCACATGTTAGTTAGTGGGGCTGACTAGTTCTCTGGCAAGGGTGCCGCACTCTGGCCTTCCTCCAAAGCGCCGTCCTTGGAGGGGTAGTTCAATGCACCACTTTCAGCCGGCTCCTTTGGCGTGGCCCCAATTCTGCTCCGGGAAAATGAGGGCTGGGCGGAGTGGGGCAGCGCTGCCTATCTCAGTCACGTGGAGGGCCGTATAAACACTAGATGGCTCCGCAGTTGCCGCCGCCACCGCCGGGGGAGATGAGCAGGCGGTTGCTCCCGCGGTCGCCTTCCCGCTGCTATTGAAGATAGCCTGGTCCGCACCTTTGGGGGCCTCAGCCTCCAGCAGCCCTGCCTTGCCCAAGGCAAGCCCCCCCCCGCTCGCCGCTTCAGCAAAGGGGAGAGAGCAGTCTTTTCCGAGGGGAGGTGAAGCCAGGACGGCAGAGCCGTCTATACCAGAGCTGGATGTGTCGCCTTAGGCTCCACTCTCCAATCAAGCCCCATTACGTGTGCGCGCGTGTGTGCGCATGTGCGTGCGCATGCGCACATTTTGCGGCTCCCAGGGTTTTTTTTTGTGAGGGAAACGGGTCCAAGTGGCTCTTTCACCATTTTAGGTTGCCGACCCCTGCCCTAACTATAACTGTTACATCTGTAAACAGAAACAGAAGACAATATATACATAAGGGTATTGACATATATTATTAAAGAATCAGTTATGGGCTACAAGAATCATGATTTATGTCTTTTTGTCAAGCTGCTAATATATACAGGGAAAACCAAAGACAAATTTATAATTGCTAAGGAGCAATGAAACTTACCTCTGTTCTAAGGACAACATTCTCCTCTTCAAGATCCTTCAGCTTCTTTTGAAGAGAATCAAAATGAAAATAATTCTGGACAGATGAAGATGATTCATTCCTCTTCAATCTAGTAAAATACATATTTTAAGGCATTTATGTATAGTCCCTATTTATAATTCCTGTAGAGTTGCACAATAATCTTTCAATAATAATACTGCTTAAAATTCAGGAGTTTCATAGAACTTTGGTAGATTAACTAAATTTATATCATTTCCTTTTTTCTACACACTTTTAATGTGGAAATGTAAATTATAAAATAGCAAAAAAATCAATTTCTGCTTACTACATGAAATTATAAAAAAGAACTCATAAAATCTTTAAAAACAATATTCATATAATAGGGCATATATAAGGAAATGAAGGAGATAACACAAATACATATAAGAACAAATATTTCAAACTGTTTTGGGCAAAGAATCTTCTGAAGCATCCTGTACTAAATATAAAGTTGTTTCAAAAATTTTGAAAGTGTTTTGAGCTTTGTATGAAATTTCACACTTGAAACAGTTTTACACAGCCTAAATAACATTTCTGTTTCCTATACTAGACTTACGGAGTTGAACAGATGGACTCTGGCTCACTCTCTTCAGCAGCGCTGGTATAAAACTGAAGCAGCTCATCTTTCATGGACAACTCATGACGCAGTTGAGAAACCTGAACAAAATTAAAGGGAAAAATACCTATAAGTGATTACATTTAAGTAAAAACAGAAAACTGTTCCACATCAGGAAAAAAAGTTTAGATCAGGAATTCCAAGACCATACTTACAACTTTTCATTCAAAGCAGTCAATTCATCACTGTGTTTTATCTAGTTACAATTGTAATGGAGCCTGCATCTGACTGACCCAATTTTACAAATTTTTGGTAGTTGTCATTAAGCAAATGTAACGGTGGTATAAATGCGTACCCATTGTTTACTATGTGTGCGGTTTTACTGAGTTGTAAAATTCCAGTTTTCAACAAAACTGTTTTAAAACCATTGTAAAATGTGGGACATTCAAATGGTAATAAATGCAGCCATGTTGCCAAGCACCTGAAATGTGATCATATGACTGCAGAGGGCAATTTTGCATCCAGGCCATAAGACCCCTTTCTCAAGTAGGTCATAACTCAGTGATCGGGATAAGTCAAGGACTACCTGTATAATTGTAGCTATTTAGATTATAGTACACCAATTGAACCTTGCCATAGTTTGGTGCCAAATCACAATATAAGATTCTTATTGCTACTGTACAATATCTATGTATAAAGCACTAGCAGTTTTATTTTAATTATTTATTTATAAAATTTTATCGGCTGCCCATCTTACCTCAGAGTAACTCTAATCATAAAATCTATTCATCTCCTCAAACTAAATTAGGTAAACCAAGTATGATGCCTGCCCAGTAACATTAATAGAATGGGCTTCAAAAATTTCTGGATAGAGTTCAAAATGCCAAATCACCCCAAATCTTTAAAAAGGTTTCTTTAATGTTTGCTTTAGGACAGGAACAGAAAATCTGTACCTCTACTGTTACCATGCCTCAAGTTATAGTATCTCTCACTACAGACTATTTTACTACTAATAGTAACATCTGGAGGGCCATTGATCCGCCAACTTAGCTTTAGCAAAGGATAGGCACTCCTCAAGAGATCATTGTAATGACACCTGCCCATTATGGTTGTATGTGGCGGTAGCCGTTAAGTGAAATGGCCTCACTTAACCACACCATCCACTGATCTCCCTGATGCAGCCATTAATGAACACACACATTATTAAGCAAAGCATAGGATGCTTCAGAAGTGGGAGAGGCCCAGCACTGGTCAGGCCCACCTGCCCTGGGTCTCCCCCACTTTCTCAGACATCCCATTCTCTACTTCCAACCCCTTGGGTTCCCAGAGGCCTTTTCCCTCCCCCAACTGCTCCCTGCTGGACTTTCTCTCTCATGCCAGGTCCTTGCAAGCATTTCCATCTCCCAATGGCTCCCCACTGGCCTTATGCCTGATTCTCACTCCATCCGGTGCCACAAACTCCTCACTTACCTTTGAACAAAGCCTTCCATAGCACAGGAATTGGTTGCCTTGTCACTTAGCAGCATGGCACAATTCTGGAATTGGCCATGTGGCTGAAGGAATAAACGCTCCTTTTAACAGCCTTAATGCATTCCACTTGTGGATGGTTCAAAATGCTGTCCATATCCACAAGGCTGCCACACAAATAAGGAACAAAGTACTCTGTTTTGCTTCCCTAATGTGGTCTCCACAGCTTTCTGAAGGCCTAGAGCTTTCTGCAGCACAGTAGAGACTGTATTATGTCCTACTGTACTTTTAAAAAGATTTTGTTTCATTTTAATCATGAGAAGCAAAGAACCAGGACCAAATCCATTTTGAACAAATATAAAGCCTGTGAACTGAATTTACTTGACGACTGAAATTTCACAAAGCCTTAGTGCTTTAATTGATATGCAGAATGTCTATTTTATAGCATTAAGTGTACACAAGGAGTTGCTAAAGAAATTTATTTATTTATTAAATTTATATGCCACCCATCTTATCATTGAATCAACTCTGAGCAATTTACGAAAGAAGATGAAAGTTAAAGTATTTGTTTACGGGTGGTCCTCAACTTATGACTTATCACTTACTGACCATGCAAAATATGACCGATACCTCCAGAACTACTTACAACCCTTTTTTGAAGTTAGGTGGCCACATACTTCCATAGTCACCTGATCATATTTTGTGTACTTGGCTTCTGGCTCATCTTTATGGCCACTGCAACATCCCACAGTCACATGATTGTAACATGCAATGTTTTTTTGCCAGTTTCTAGTATTTACTTCCGATTTCTGGCAAAAAAAACCACTCATTGGAGAAAATGGATTTGCTTAATGACTGCAGCATTAGCTTAATAACCATGTCATTTGCTTTGCAACCACTGCAAAAAATGTTGAAAAATTAGGTCCATTCATGTAATTATATGACTTATAATTCCTGGCTCAATTAAAATTGTAAGTCAAGGACTACCTTTAGAGAAATTTCACATAAAGAACTAGAAAATCCTCTGTAAAACTTCATCTATAATAAATCAAAATAATAAAATTTTAGAATGCTAGGCCATACTTGCTGATTGAAACAGAATTAGGTCTTTTATGCAAGGAAAGAATATATTACATCTGTATTAGCAATAGTGCTTTGTGAGATGATAAACAAAAAGTAAATTTACAATTGATAGAATCAATTTACAATTCACAAACCATAGATTATATTTGAAGTACACGGTAATAAAATATACTCTCTGGTACATACATTCTTTTTTTTTTTAATCTTAGAAAATGTATGTTTCAATTTTTATAATTAATACCATGGGAAAGAGCTGTGTAAAATAGCAGATACAATTATTTAAAAATGAGAAAGGAAACAATTCTCTTTTTGAGACAGAAGAAAAGAAATAAAAGTTTGAATTATATTCATAAATGTGTGGTATTATACGAAGAAAACAAAAGCCAGGTGTTTAAAAACTCAGTTAAAGAATAGAAACATGTCAAGATAATTGCAGCATTCCTATGGTCTGTTGTCAGGGTGAATGATTGTGGGCGTACTGCAGCCACCCTAAATTCGAAATAGAATTGTACATTTGGGAGTCTGTTGTAATTTTGAATGACCATTAAATGATTGATTGTATCTTGAGGACTGCCTGTAATCTTAATTAATACTGCAGCATACCTTATAAAAAGTACATATAGTATAGGACATAAAAAGTAAATGGAGAAGAGCTGAAGAATTGGAATGAGCTCAAAAAATCCTGCTATTGGGGACTTCCGGTGGGACGGCGCGCCGATGGCGGCTCTTTTCGGAGCCGTCCGCTTGGGAAGGCGTCAGAGCCAGCATGAACAGCGGTCAGCAGCTGTTCAGCGGCTTGGAACCTTGTGCCCCGGGAGAAGGGGTCGAGGTGAGTACTCCTGGATAGGAGTAGAGTCCCAAAAGCTCTCCCTTCATCTCGGGAGAGC